ATGGATTTTTGAAGAGGTTAATCAGTTAAATTCTAGCGGCCCAGTTGTCCCTATCAAAAAACAAAACAAAACATTTTGTGGCCAATAAAGAGAAACCCTTCCTTCCCTTCAGAACCACCAATACTATCTAACTACAGTGTGGCTATAGCCTCTTTACTTCTTTCAAATACAGAGTAATGATCTCTTGGAAGATGAAGGGGTAGTGGTCACTTAAACTCTGAATTCACAAAAAACAAAAGTCTAAGCCTCACTGGCACTTTCAAAAATTCACAGATATTGTTTTCCTTCATGTGGCAACAAGTAATTTCCGAACTCATATATATTCTAGGCTCTCCAGCTGTGACTGCTTGCTACAAATCCTTCCACTGCAGAGCTGGCGCTCCACATTGATAATGCACATACTGAGCAGCATGAAGCTTAAACTAATCCACCAGATAGACAAAGGGAGTTAATGACATCTTTTATAGGACTGCAGAAAGGAAGGATGGGCTGGTGTGTAATGCACAAGACTGGGAGTCCAAAGAACTCTATCACACCTTTTCTCTGTGTTAAATGGTGACTTGTAGTTATATGAGTGTTTTCTAAGATATTTGTGGCTTAATTCTTTGATGTGTGTAAAGCATTTTGAGATCCTTAGACCCTCCCGATGTCAGAAGAGAACAATAATAGAGAAGTAGCCGTGTTAGTCTGATCTTACAAAAACAAAAGGAAAAACTATGTAGCACTTTAAAGACTACAAGATGGTTTTATAAGTGATGAGCCTGTTACACATTGTTTCTCCATGCAAAAATGGGAAGCAAATTTTGTAACATTCTTGCCTGTGCTGTTAACACACATGAATTATGATGATTCAGAGAGGGGGAAAGACCTCTCAATATGCTATGTATTTAAGTGATTGCATTTGTGGTGCATAATAATTTGTGCCAATATCTTTAGTTTAAATGTCCAGAGTGTTTTGGAACATTTCAAGATATATCTGCTCACCTCAGAACTCCTAGGTTGTGTCTAGACTGGCAAGTTTTTCCGGAAAATCAGCCGCTTTTCTGGAAAAACTTGCCAGCTGTCTACACTGGCCGCTTGAATTTCTGCAAAAGCACCGACTTCCTACTGTAAGAAATCAGTGCTTTTTGTGGAAATACTATGCTACTCCCATTCGGGCAAAAGTCCCTTTTGCACAAAGCTTTTCCAGAAAATCATGCCAGTCTAGACGTAGCCCTAAAGTCTTGTTTTTCTGTGTTTTGATCTTGTATATTTTAAGACTTTTAGTTTATTTTTTAAAAGGGATGTACAATTCTTGAATCCAGGTTTTTGTATGGTTAACTGGATTTTTTGAACATGACTAGGAACTATGGCTTTCAGTCTTGATTTACGCCTCACTGAAATATATAGGATTGCTCAGGGTATAAGTTTTAATGTTCACTGAAGTCAATGGGGGAGTATCTCACTGATGTTAATAAACCTTGCATTAGGCCAGAAGTGAAGACAGAATTGAGCCTAATATATTCCAATATATTGCTGCTAAACAATACTGCAAAGACCTGGAAGATAATAAGGTGACGATAGGTAACAGCCAGCATGGATTTGTAAAGAACAAATCATGTCAGATCAATTGACAGCTTTCTTTGATAGGATAACGAGTCTTGTGGATAAGAGACAAGCGGTGGATGTTGTATACTTAGACTTTAGTAAAGCATTTGATGTGGTCTCACATGACCTTCTTATCAATAAATTTGACATATACAACCTAGATGGGGCTACTATAAGGTGGGTGCTTAATTGGCTGGATAACCATTCTTAGGGTACGTCTACACTACAACGATAATTCGAACTAACTTAGTTCGAATTAGTTAATTCGAACTAAGCTAATTCGAACTAATGGATCTAGACTAAAAAACTAGTTCGAATTAGCGTTTTGCTAATTCGAACTAGCATGTCCACATTAAGTGGACCCTGAACCAGGCTTAAGGATGGCCGGAAGCAGTGCCGGCAGGGCATCAGAGGAGGACTTAGAGCGTGGAGATGCTGTCTCAGGCTAGCCAAGGGCTGAGCTTAAAGGGTCCCGACCCCCACCCTGGACAGACAGTTCTCAGGGGTGCCCCGCTTGCAAAGCAGTCTTGGCTTGGAGTGCCCGGAGTGCCCACACTGGGCACATCACAGCACTTGGCCATCAGACCGGCTGCACTTGCCGCAGGCTGCCATCTGGGGAGAGGAGGGCAATCGGGGGGCTGCAGGAGAGCTTCCACCCCCAGAAGCCCGCAGAGCCAGCCCAGTCCTCCCCATCGGGGGCTCGTGCCCCATTCCTCCCTCACCTCCTTCCACTTACCCTTCCCTAGCCCCTTTTCTTGATGTACAAAATAAAGATAACGTGTCTTCCAAAATGGAATCTGTCTTTATTGAACAAAACTGGGGGAGACTGGGAAAAGGAGGTGGGAAAGGGGAAGAGAGAGGGTGGGAGAGGGGAGGGCAACTAAAATGATCAGGGGTTGGGAACAGGTCCCATATGAAGAGAGGCTAAAGAGACTGGGACTTTTCAGCTTAGAAAAGAGGAGACGGAGGGGGGACAGGATAGAGGTCTATAAAAGCATGAGTGGTGTGGAGAGGGTGCATACAGAAAAGTTCTTCATTAGTTCCCATAAAGAAGGACTAGAGGACACCAAAGGAAAGGAATGGGTAGCAGGCTTCAAACTAGTAACAGAAAGTTGTTCTTCACAAAGCAAAGAGTCAACCTGTGGAACTCCTTGCTGCAGGAGGCTGTGAAGGCTACAACTAGAACAGAGTTTAAAGGGAAGTGAGATCAAGTCATGGAGGTTGGGTCCATGGAGTCCTATTAGCCAGAGGGTAGGAGTGGTGTCC